ACTTCTACTATTTATTATTGATGTACTTTCAGTATGAAGGAAATTGCATTCGGGGGGATTCTCGGGCGAAGCCGGGTCATTCGTCTAGTATATATTGGATTGGCCAAATATCACGGAACAAGTTAAATAAACGCTTAGTTTATTTTTGTTCCACTAGATGGCGCTCTACCATTTAGAGATGCTCGTGTGAGCACGGTCAGGATATGTCTCTTGTTAGCCGCTTAGTTGACACACATTAATATGTTATAACACCTTGATAAAGGTTGGCGTTCAGCCAACTGATATATTGGTAAAAGAAATGATATTTTGATCCAATATATGCCGCTTAAATTGAAATCTATCTCTCTATATATATTACTAGCGGATGTACCCGGCTTCGCCCGGGTTTTACCCGAGTAAAGGTTTGTCTAACGAACATTTTTTAAAACAATTCCCTATAAAAAGCTATAAAACGAAGAGAAAAATTATTTTATTAAAATGCATAGGCTACTAGCTTTCGGGCTCCAAGCCCTTCCACAGGTACCTGTGGAAGGGCTTGGAGCCCGAAAGCTAGTAGCCTATGCATTTTAATAAAAGAATTTTTCTCTTCGTTTTATAGCTTTTTACAATTCATTAAGAGAAATTTCGTCAATCTCATTAAACTTGAATTCCCTATAAACTTATATAAAAAATATATATATATTTTGATAATTTGAAACTCGTAAATTTGAATCTCTCGATAAAGTGAACATTTTTTCCCGGTCCTTTTAAAAATACTCGATAAGTTGAATAAAATCAATATTAATTGGTTCCCTCGGTAATGGGAAGTTAAAGGAATAGTATCTTGCCTTGGAATTGTATCATTATTCTTGTCTCAAATAAATTGCTGTGTCATCCTGAATTTTGTCTTTCCTAATTTTCTACATTACAAAATCATCGTTTTATCTAGTGAACATTTTTTCCCGGTCCCTTGAAAAATACTCGATAAGTTGAATGAAATCAATATTAATTGGTTCCCTCGGTAATTGGAAGTTAAAGGAATAGTATCTTTGCCTTGGAATTGTATCATTATTCTTGTCTCAAATAAATTGCCGTGTCATCCTGAATTTTGTCTTTCCTAATTTTCTACATTACAAAATAATCATTTTATCTATTCTCCCAATATATATGTTGTAGATAAATGATAAAACTAACTTTGACGTGTGCGCAATTAATAGGTAGAAAATCTTACTTTTGATAAATAATCTTTAAGAAAATAAACTTAGTGATAATAAAACTTATAGATAAAACAACTTGTTATCATCGTCGCAATGGGGGCGCTGCTTTCGAGTTAAATCTACAAATCTGCAAATAACTCTAAGGATATTCAAGATATTCAAGAAATTATTTTTCAATAACCTTCCCGGGGATATACCTAATAATATCCCAAAATTTCACGGCAATTGAATTTATGGTTTTTGAATCTATAGAGTACAAACATACAGACAGACATTCAATTATATATATATACTAGCAGATGTGTACCCGGCTTCGCCCGGGTTTTATCCGAGTGAAAGTTTGCCTAACGAATATTATATATTATGAAGTATAATAAACAATGTTAAAGATTAGTTTTAATTATTAATCAAGATTGTGTGTGAATATGTGAGAAAGATGTGTAATATCGTTGTTGTTTTCTTGGCCGACTGTTTTACATATTGCCACATGGAAAATTAGGGAAGACAAAAACTTCAGGAGGAAACAACAATTTATTTCAGGGAAGGACAAACTAAGAAAGGTAAACAAAAGATAAGCCACGAGGGAAGTTTACAGAGTCGCCAGATATAAACATAAAAATGACCACTCTGTTAATAAAAAATAATAAAATTAATAAATACTATGTAACATAGCTTCTTCCCTATGGGAGCTGTGACCCACAGCTAGCAATTATTGTAGATACTGACATGGATCTGACGTGCTTCTGCCAAGGATTCCATCGAAGTCTTGGAACTTTGTCCCTAGTACCTTAGCGTCTTTTTTTCTTGCGGCGTAAAGAGCGGCTTTGTCGTCGTATCGTCTATAAGGACATCGTCATCTTCGAGGGAAGTCTTGGCTTTAGCACGGCGGTGGAATCCTGGAGTCAGTCTCTGAAAATGTAGATCACAGCACCCATGGCTTCAAGGTCTTCTCGGCGGTCTTCAGTTTGTCTTCCCTAACTTACCCAGCATCTCCACCAAAATATGTCGCGGAGATAAATAAAGCAAGGGCAAGTTTGGGGATAATTAATTTATTATAAGGAGTATATGGAGTATAAGGAGTATAGGGAGAGAGAGTTTTGTACAACTTACCCCCAGTTAAGGTTAATCCTGAATGAACGGCGTTAGCCACCGTCCCGTTTTCCTTATTTACAGATCAGCCTCCCAGCAGCCCCCACACCGGTGGTTCCCCCCGGGGTCCAGGGATGATTGACAGTTGTCCCATCTGGATGGAGCTACTTGACAATATGATGTTATCTTAAAATTGCTTGTTTTGAATATTTTTTTAGATTGAGTTGAATGAATTGCTGAATTTTTTTTTGTATTTATATATAAATAAAATTAACTCTGTTGATTTTTTTTTGTATTTAATCGATAACAGCGAAGTTACGCATGTTAAAGTTAGGAAAAATATTTTGATGTTAAGCAAAACCTGCTCCATCTCGTTTTACATAAATGTTGAAAATTTGGTCGAAATTGATGCATTGTAACGAAATTTTTTAGCGAACACCACTTATGAAATTTGCATTTTATTAATATTGGGGCGAAGAAATATTTTATTATTTAATTTAATATTATTCAATGAAAATATATTCAACAGATTATAAAAATATATATTAATCTGTATTTGTGAAATCATCTTTAAAATATTTCTTTCCTTGCTTGCTTAAGATTCTCTAGCGATATATAGTTTTGCTGACTTGTTAATAATTGTCGACTCGTCGCTGTGACGTCATCAATAAATACTTTTACATCTTAGGATATTTCAAGACTTGATTTCTACGCTACAATATAGATAGATTTACTGATAATATTTTTGACGTGACAACGTCTTAAATTAGGTTGCGGCTGGGAGTCACTTATGAAAAAGTGTAACGCCCGGTAACGTTACGATGAGTCATCGAACGAGAGTGCTGCGCGCGCAGCGCTAGAGAATTAGGCGCATTGAATCGGCGCATGCTTGTCTCTGTCTTTGTCTTTCTCGAACGTTCTTGGCGTTGGAAAAACAAGAAAGCGTCATAATACAAGTTCACACGTGTGGTTAAAGTATCGTCAGCTGTGTCTGTAGTGAAAATGTGGAGTGCTTAGATTCGTCATTTACAACAACTACAACAATAAAGGTAAATAATTGTACACTGATATTTCATTATCGTAAACTATGATTGATTGATTAATTGTTAGATTGACACAAAAGTTGAGAAACTGAGTTTATAGGTTATGTCATACTATTGATAAATGTTGATAGTGTTAAGTAAATTATTAGTTTAAAATTAATTAATTAATTAATTATTATTTTACAAATTTTAAATAGTTTCAAATTTATTTAGCAAAAATTTGAACCTTCGATCTGAATAAATGTTTTGATTTTCGAATTGATTCTTTAAAATTACAAATATTAAGAAAAAGTGGCAGATATAAGAAAACTTTATTTAAACTGTGTTGAGCAAGAATTTTAACATCTAATTTAAGTAAATGTTTTAATTTTCAACTTCATCATTTACAATTACAAATTTTATTTAATTTCAAATTTATTTAGCAAAAATTTGAACCTTCGATCTGAATAAGTGTTTTGATTTTCAAATACCAACGCGGCTGGTGGAGTGGCGATCTATCGTAAATTATCATCGACATCTACGGCGGAAGTGTTCCAAGTTGCGATTACAGACGTAACTCGTGTCATTAAAACTAAGGGTGACATGTGCATGACTGAAGTTACTTGCTTCGCCGCTAATACTAGCTTCAAGTTTATACTCGGTGCTGTATATATTCATCCAGGAGCTAGTATGCAGGATATTGGAATGTTACTATGGCAAGGACTCGGTCCGTACATTCACAACAGCCAGTACGTGCCACCGTTCGTGCAAGTTGATTCTAGTATACCGATTCTTCTGTGTGGTGATTTTAACAAAAACGTAAAGCCTGACAACTCGTTTCTTAAATTCATGAAAAATACGTATAATCTTGATTGCGTATCAAACGTTTCTAAGTCAACTACGTTAAAAGGAACAACTATCGACTTGACTTTCGCAAGACACATTACAGCAGAAACACTTCCTTTCATTTCATATTTCTCCTATCATCGTCCTATCCTCAACAAAATCACTCAAATAGGAATTAGTTAAGTTTAAGTTTACATGTACAATGTTTTAGTAAACAAAATATATTTCTATAGTTAAAATTTGTGCAATTCTTATTTTCATTCAATTCCTTGTTCCTATTGTGCAATTTAATTATATTCATATCAATAAATATTCTACCGTTGTCACGTAAAATCTTCGCCCGTAAAACCGACTTTACAGGCAACCAACTATTTTTTTTAAAGTAATTTTGTTGAAACAATATTTTCGTTCTGTCAACATTCAGTCAGGAAGATCCCGGGCGAAGCCTGGTCATTCAACTAGTTGATTTTAAAAGTGATCATTGCGTCTTTCTATCCAGAGTGCATTGCTAATTATGATTTATTTATTTTATTTCAAAATTTTATTTTTATATGAAGTTTATGGCGTATGTTTTAGAAGAACTTTGAGATGTGATGATTGTAAAAATTATTAGGCAATCATGATGACTTGGCAGTTTTCTTTATGAAAATATTATTTTGGTGAAATACACTTTATGGTCATTATCTATAGATTTTGATGACATACAGAAAAACTAAGAGCAAATTCGGTATCAGTGCCATTGGATTACCCAAAAAGCATTTTTAATCCTCAAACATCAAAAATTTTTAAAAAAATTGTAGACCTGTGTAATTGTAGTTCACCGCCAAGTAACAAATTAAAAATAAAATTCCTACGCCGGGAATCGAACCAGGGCCTCCCAGGTGAGAGCCAAATATTCTAGCCACTAAATCGAGTAAAATGATTGTAAACATTATAACAGGTATAATGTCATTATCTCATTCTTTTTCTAATTACTTCTCTCTGTTTCTATTGGTAAGAGAGTATGGTGGATAAAATTTGCCAGTTTAATGTAAAACACGAGCCCTGGAAAATACTTCAAGAAAAATATCTTCTACTGAATGATTTGGACCGCTGGCATTGTATATCTCTTTTATATTAGAGAATAGTGTTTGAATGTTGGCACCAGCTTGCCCTCTAATTGTACAAGCTAGTACTTGTATCTCAGGTACACTTCTTCTACGTGTTCTTCTAAGTGTTATAGTGTCATTTTTAATCCTGTGCTGTTTATTCTCATTCTTAAAAATTTGGCCAAAATGATTGAAGGAATAAAGGGACATATAAAAAGCCAATTTTTATTTCTAAAAAATTTTGAAAAAAAAAATTTTCTGGGTGCGATGGAGAGAGGCATGGCGGGGCCCAGCACACGGCGGGGGTCACCGAGGCCGGTGGGTCTGACCGGGGCTCCGGAGGTCGACGGGGCGGGAGACGGATCGCAGCGGGGACTAGGGTGGGGACCCAGGAGGAAGGGGGACAGGCGACGGGCGGGACGGCCGCGAGTAGTTGCCGCACCGTAGTTGTACGCGGGGGTACTACCGATGTCCGCCGGGGGGCTGTTCCTGCAGACAAACACCACATTAAGGCCAACATTCTATAAGGGGATTGAAGAAAGTTTGCTTACCTCGCAGCCGCCCGGAACCCGTCGCAGGCGTTTGTCCACTGGATCTCCCTCCTGGGCTTCCTGATAGTCGTGGAAAGCTGAAGGTGGTTTGCTCCCCACCGGTCGTCCACCGCTGCATCGCTCCACCCCAGGGAGTTGAGGGGGAGGGACGGGATGGAATGGTGATCACTCCCCGGGAATGAAGCGGGCGTCCATCCGTCTCCAGGTCTGGGTGGTTAGGCTGCCTCCGCCGACTCCTTGGACTGAGCTCCCGGCCAGATGGGTCTTCGGGGAGCTAATTAGCTCCCCTCCACCGGGCCCCGAGGATGTTGGTTGTCCCGGGGCACTTCTTCGCCCCGATGACCCGGGCTTCGAGGGGGTGTTGAGGTTGCCGCCGTGGCTGGGCCAGCGTGTCGAGCCGGCGATCTTTGTGCACTCTCTCCATGCAATTTCCCATGTTTGAATGATTTATCTTTCCATTGTTGTGAGCTCTTTGCTTAGTCGGACCATCAGAAATGGCAAAACTTGGCTGTTTTCATAAAGAAACCTTACTGAATACCTAGAGATTGATTGGTTTTAATTTATATCTCCAGCTCTTTTAATACTCGATCATCTGTTTTGGTGATTGGAACCAAACTGTTGTCTGATACTTCAAGAGCAAGCTATTTCTTCTCTATTACATACGATCTTGACGATCGCCGTTTATCCACAAGATTATCTGTCACGAGTATTATCTTGATTATCGCCGTTTATCCACAAGATTATCAGTCTCGACTATTATCTTGATGATCGCTGTTTATCCACAGATTATCTGTCTCGAGTAATATCTTGATGATCGCCGTTTATCCACAAGATCTTCTGTCTCGAGTATTATCTTGATGATCACCGTTTATCCACAATATTATCTTTTTCGAGTATTATCTTGATGATCGCCGTTTATCCACAAGATTATCTGTCTCGAGTAATATCTTGATGATCGCCGTTTATCCACAAGATTATCTGTCTCGAGTATTATCTTGATGATCGCCGTTTATCCACAAGATTATCTGTCTCGAGTATTATCTTGATTACCGCCGTTTATCCACAAGATTATCTGTCTCAAGTATTATCTTGATGATCGCCGTTTATCCACAAGATTATCTGTCTCGAGTACGATCTTGATTATCGCCGTTTATCCACAAGATTATCTGTCTCAAGTTTTATCTTGATGATCGCCGTTTATCCACAAGATTATCTGTCTCTAGTATTATCTTGTTGATCGACGTTTATCCACAAGCTTATCTGTCTCTAGTATTATCTTGATGATCGCCGTTTATCCACAAGATTGTCTGTCTCGAGTACGATCTTGATTTTCGCCGTTTATCCACAAGATTATCTGTCTCTAGTATTATCTTGATTATCGCCGTTTATCCACAAGATTATCTGTCTCGAGTACGATCTTGATGATCGCCGTTTATCCACAATATTATATGTCTCGAGTACGATCTTGATGATCGCCGTTTATCCACAAGATCACCTGTCTCGAGTATTATCTTGATGATCGCCGTTTATCCACAAGAGCGCCTCTGTCTCGAGTACGATTTGACCTGAAAAAATAATTCAACAAGTTTTATATCAATCGTCTGACTATGAAACACAATGAATAGTTGATTCATTCTTCCGTCAAAGTTAGTCGTCCACCATCTTAGACACTCCAGTTATCCCTGTCATGGCGTTAAGTACTCTGGATGAGTCGAAGTTATAAGCCAATTGTACCCAGTTGGTTCTTCCTGGTTCACTTATCTTATCTATTCTCTTGTTATGTAATGTACATTTGTTCAGATTCATTCTGGCCGTGTGTGGACAAACTATTAGAGTTGGCCTATCTAACTGTTGTTGGGTCTGACATTTATCATGCAAAAAAAAAGACTTGATAATCAATGATGAAAGCTAACAGTGAATATTGAAAAATAAATAAACAAAGCTTAATTTTATGAAACCCTGAAGAATTTATAAAAGTCTTCAGAAATTTTCGAAAAAAGATACCTTGCTGTCAAAGTGGCAATTCTAGAGCCAAAAAATATGGGTGGGAATTTGTATCCCATCAAGATGTCATGACAACTTAGCTTGACTCAAACTTCACGCCTATTTCTTGTAAAAGAACCGTGAGGCTATTAGAGAAATATGTTTAATAATAAGATTTATTTTCTCTATATAGTAATCTCAGGTTAAAAATAATAACTATATTCTATATATAAAATAAATAAATGATTCTGTGATAAATAAATTAAATGATAAACATTGCTCCTCCCTCACATCTAGAATTATTGTTCTTCGGTCAGTGCTACGTCTACATCTTGGTCTTCCTGTCTAGATGGGCCCCCCGTTGTTTTATCCTTAAGACGTGCACGAGGTCCTTGGTTCTTCGGCGTTTTCCTTGGTTCTCCTAATGGTTCTACTTCATGAGTCACATCAGATAACTTCTTGGTAACTTGGTAGGAGCCGAAGTACAGCTTCATCAGTTTCTCGCACAACCCTACACGTCGTACTGGAGTGTAGATCCATACCAAGTCACCAGGGCGGTAGGCTGTCTCTGTGTCTTGAGTCATAGTTCATTTTATTGATGTCTTGTGATTTCAGGATGTGAAATTGTGCAATCTGTCTCGCCTCTTCTGCTCTTGGATAAACTCATCGCCATCTCTGGTTTCTGGATAGAGAAATAAAATGTCAAGTGGGGTTTCAGCTTCCCTACAACGAACAACAACAAAAATGGTGTAAAGCCAATAGATTCCTGTTTTGTGGTATTGTTAGCAAAAGTGAAGAAGGGCAAGATTTCATTCCAATTCTTCTGTTCAAGTCTACATATACATGGATAACATATCCGCTATGTTGTTCAGCCGTTCTGTTAGTTCATTTGTTTGAGGTTGATACCGCGTTGTGGTTCTTTTAATTATCCCGCAACAGTGGGTCAATTCCTGGATGAGTTTAGACTGGAAGTTACGGCCCCGGTCAGTCACAATTTCCCGAGGGGCTCCGTGGATCAATATCAACTTTTCCACTTAATATTTCGCGACTTCCTGAGCTTCTACGGATGCCAAGCTTTCTGTGATCGCATATTTGGATAAACAGTGCATACTATGATCCATCTTTTCTTGTCACGTGGTATTGGGATGCGTCCAAGTCCAAGATCTTTTCCTATATTTTGGAATGGTCTATTCGGAGGTGGTATAGGCATCAGATGTCCAGACGGCAGTTGAGATGGGTTCTTCCTCTGTTGACAGTTCTGACTGTGGCTGAGATATTTTCTAACACTCCGATAGAGCTCTGGCCAAAAGTACTTATTTCTGACTTTATCGTTAGGCTCAGCAAAACTGAGATAACATGCTATGAGAGCCTCATGTAGTTCGTTCAACATATCGGCTCTCTGTTGTTTTGGAATGAATTTGGAAATTGGTTTGGGTCAAAATATTCTTATAAGAATCCCATCGATCCACAGACCTCTGGATTATGGGCCCAGCACGCTTCCACTGCATCACTCTGCTTGAAATATAAATATCTTCAATATAATACTAAAAATTAAAAAAACTTGTTAAGTTTTTCCTCGTACACATGGTATAGGCCATAGTAATCATAATAGGTAGTAGTTGGTGACGCTTTTACAGTAATTGCTTCACATGTCTCCACCTGTGAAAAGCACGGCTCTCTTTGTTTACTTGTACTCACTGGTGGGGTTGGACATTGGCAAAAATTGGGGACCTTCAGAGCAATTTTTAATTCAGAAAAAGTGCCCGGTTTATACCACTCATCTGTATGTTTTAAACTAGAACATTGTCAACGAATATACCTGTTCCTTGTTAAAAACCAAGGCTTGCAGAAAAATACTCATCAATTTAAAAAAATAAAATACCAAACAACTATAAACCTATTCCCACACACCTAGAGATAAAAAGATGTAACTTTGAATTATAGGAGATCTATATTTATATATAAGCCAATCATTTGGCATCACATTTTATTTGTGATCAAATAAAAAAATATTAGCAGAGCGTGGTTTCGATCCACGGACCTCTGGGTTATTGGGCCCAGCAAGCTTCCACTGCGCCACTTTGCTATGGTTGAAGGTAGCAACTAGAAGTTAAAAAAGAATTAATATAAAGAGGACATTCAACTCGTCCATAAGAAAAAGGTCTTTTGATCATTACCTATATATGCAAGTAAAACATAGGTCCAGATAGAAAGGCATATACAAAGGTTCAGTATAGAAGACCTTAAAGTAGAAACTAGCATCCCCAAGCATATTAAATTCAACGATAATA